GTACATCAATGTGGTCGACATGATCACTAAACCAAGCCTAGACTATTTCTAATAAATTTTCATTAACTATTCCGTCCCTGTATACCATCTGAATATGGTTAAACATCAAACTGAAGGACCAACTGTTATTAATTTACAGTTCAAATTTAAAACCGGTATAAAGAAATTTGTTCAGCATTTTGGATCTTTAACAGTAAACTGTATAAATCTAACACAGGAGATAAAGCCCTATTAAATCACTTTTTTAGTTACCATCTCCTCTAGTTAATAAGCTTTAAAATTATATCTCAGTCGAAAAATCGGTTAAATAGGACAGCTGGAAATGGTATTAAGGAGAAAACCCCGTTGTTACTGACTAAGATTACTTGTTTTTCGCTGTCTTAAAATTATGTTTACATACATTTTTGCTAGTGTCAAACCATCAGTATTTAAAAGTCTATGGTCAGACATAGATGTATACATTAAAAGGGTAAATGTAAATGTTTATTAACACAATAATGTTAATGTTTAAGACGCATTTAAGTACGAATCCACGATCAAATTCAAGTAGGAATCCTCTGATCAAAACATTTCTTGATCTTAAAGTCATGACATATATTTTTAATAATAAAATCTATCGTATTGATTGGTGGGACGTTTGAAACATTTTTTAAAATCTTTTAATTTTGAGTCATATGTCTGTTGCTACACAAAGGTTGTAAATAGAATCAGCTGTTTTGGTTAAATATGCAGGTAAAAAAGATATTTACCATTACATGGCCACTTTCAAGGGCTGTAGGACGGAACTGGATTTTTGCCAGCCTTGTGACCAACTCCAATCCAATCTATTTAGTGGCCAAATACCCCATATTCAAATAAAAAAATCTAATATTCGTTGACGAAAAAAAGTTTGTCCGTCTATGCGCTTGTTATAGAAATCAATCTCTGTAATAATAGAGATCGATGGTTATAGATTATAGGATTACTATAGACAATAAAAAATAAGAACTACACATATAAGACATCGGTACATAAAAACAGGAACAATAATTGAGGTCTAAAAAAACATTTAAACTAGCGTTATATTAAATTGCTCTGTAAAGTTATATTACTTGATGACTTGAAACAGAATAATATCATAACCTACATAATCTATTTTTGTTTGAGTTGACGAATACATAATTCTTACAGAAAGTCTCTTAGCAGAATCGTAGGTCCATTTATTTGCAAATTAAACTCAGTTTTCTCGTTTGGATTGATATAAATGGCAATTTTAGAAACTGCTAATTGACAATCAAGACTCAGCTAATTCAATTGCATTTCAATCACTATCCAAGACAGAGAGCAGAGGGACAAAAGATTGCTTTACTTTCCAATTTTTGTTCTGAGATTAAAACCCCTTAGATAAACAGCTGTTGTATAAATGGATTTTACAAAATTAACAAGAATTGTCCATATTACTTTTAATTTGTAAGATTTTATGTTTATATAAGTCACTTGATTGAACAAGAGTTATTAAAACGTAAATGTAAAAAGCAAGCCAACAGAGCCCTTTTCCGAAAGCTGATGAAATAATTAATAATATTTATATTATTATTTGATTATTGATCTACTTACAAAACACAAAAATAGCTCGTATTCTGATAACTACCTTACAACATTCCGTAATTAAACATTTTAATTACTTTGGCTTGCGAATGGGTAATTTTAAGTATATTTGAAAACCCAAGAGCAATAAAACTTTCTGTCGAATACAATTATTCTAATTTCGTGGTACTGTAATATATTTTTGAAGAAACGGCCTAAACCATGGTCTCATTACTCGCCGATAATGGGAATTGTGTTTTTTATGAATGTCGTTTTACTGCTTTTGTCTTATTTTTTATAGTAAAATCTTGTAAAACTTGTATCTATGGATGTGATGACTTATACTGTATGAATATGACAGCCAAATGGCCAAAAAAAACTTTAATTAGTAGGTCGATTTTTTATGAGGTCATCCAACCAACTAAAAAGTTTATGAAATGAGTTCTTCCCATAATACAAGTTAGTGTTTTCCAACTAATCAATTAGTATTGCCCAGTGTGGCATTTACTGGTTCTCCAAATACTTTTTTCAGATGAAATGTATGTAATTCAATATTTGGTGGATTTCCATTTTGTAAGCTCTTCCAAAATAAACCTTTATCCAAACGCCCCTTTTGCCAAATAATAATGATTTAACAAGCCTAGAGGTCGTCCAGTGGTCGAAAACTCGACCAAAATATGTAATGTACAGACTTGTAAATTTTCACCCAACGCTGTAAATAAAACATACCATTGGAAATTCTTCATTTTTTTTAATTTCTGTTTATATTTCGTTGCTATTTCGTCGCCAGTATAGCAACCCTTAAGGCGCATAGTAATTTTTTTGTAATTTTGAATTCATTCTTTGTGCTTAAAGAGATTCTGCACTTCTACAAAAATAAATCTTTCTAACAGTATCCATAGCTTTTCCCTGTGATGCATTTGAGCTGAGAAAAACAGGGTCTTAAATCTAAATATTACTAGAACAGGGGGAAATAACAACTTGTTGGTTGGCTTTTGTAGTCTAGAACGAGACATCGACTTCTTTAACTTCTAGTTGGCGTTTGATAGACGTGGTGTGTGTATAAGGGGGGGGGGGAGGAGTGGAAGGGGGCAATTCAATTTGTAACTCATTTCACGAAGCTTAGTGAATATTGTTTAACAGATTATTAAATGACAATGGATAAACTAATTTCGCCCTTCTCGATTGAAGCGAAGGAGGAATAAATTACTAGTTTTTCGTATAAAGGAAATTCGTGCAGAAAAAGGAATTGGGTATTGAAGTAAAAATAGCATTGTGAGAGTAGACATACTCAATCCTGTCCTAAAATGTTGTAGTTTTATAAATGATCACTAAGACAATAATACGATTAAATGAAGTAGCCTGACACCATGTAAGATTTTTAGAAATCATAAACAAAGTTTTTATTTAGTTAATGTTTGAAAAAGTCTTAACTTTAGACTTTCTTATGAATTATATTTGATTTAAAAGCTAGTGATAACGTTATATTAGTAGAGTGAGTTAATACTTTCATTAAAAATCATGAAATGTTAAATAAAGCTGTATTTATGGATATTTTAAATCAACACTTCACGTGGACTTTTTTGTAGGTTTTCTGTTTATTTTTATAAAATCACGAATTTAAATAAGGACGTTAATAAATATGAGTGTACTTAGTGTACACTACCAAAGACGAGTTGATTTATTTCGATTTCAAATCTATGACATAGCATTACTATTTCTTCAAAAATTTTGTAATCAAAAGTAAACATCAAAAATTGAACATACCCAGAGAGGTCTATAAATTTGGATTCTAACACTCTTATAATAATAAGTACTCGGAAAACAAATCATGAGATGAATGTTCTATATAATTTATCAAAATAATCAGTTTATTGTATCAAACGCATATGGTATATTTTCTACAACACTTAGTTGACATAACCATACGATATAACTAACCACGAATGTATGATTATTGTTTAGTGATGATAAGGATGAACATACAATTAATTCTGGACAAACACGTGCCGTAACATCAAAAGAGATAATTATTCCGTTATAACGTAGGTTCTGCAATCATCGTGGAAAATCTTGTTATTTCTCCAAACATTAATCTTGTCATCTCTTTCTGTTTTTATGATTTGTATTGCCTTTACTTTCCTCGTTTTGGGCAAAATGGGCTTAAATAATTGATTTTTTTGTCCATTTGCTAAAAATATGGAAAGTTAGATTGATGGATGGATTAAAAAATAGATGAGGATAAAGCACAGACAAACGAATTAGGCAGAATAATTGTGAATGAATGGATATATTGTTAGGTTGGATAGATTTATACATTAATCATTTGTTATAAAAACAAACACATTGACGTAACTTGCTATGTGAGGCCGATTGAAGAACAAAAAGTTAAAAAATTAATGCATACTAATACAGTATACCATTACTCCTGAAGCAAGCATAGATTTAAGACAGGTTAATAATACAGTTAACAATAACAACAAAAATGTGTCATTTGTATAATCCCAGTAGCTATAGTACTGTTTGTACCATAATTGAATATTTAAATTTTTTACTTTATATTGAACTTAATGTAGATACAATCTTTGTACACTGTATTGCTTTTAAATTTTTGTGACAATTTAATTATTGGGATACCATACATTGGACGTTTTTAATAGGTAAACAATATTTAACTTGCTACCAAAAAGTATTAAGACTTTTTGTAATTACAAGGTAGACAATTTTTAAAAAAATTTATTTCCACGGCAAGCAGCCAACTTACAGAAAGACAAGTTCATTTAAAAGATTGCTTGACGTTTACATAATAACATGACAAATAATACAGACATTAATAGATTACAGGCCCATTTCGAAATAAATACATGCATTTACAAGCAAAATAAATGCAGTAGACGGACTATTGCTTTTTCATTTCATTCAATCATTTCATGCATTCATTTGCATCCAAAAGAATAAGTTACGTATTTTAATATATATTTTTTCAGTAATTACTATAAAAATCTGTGATTACAAAATACACACGAGAAACAGTAATAATTTAAGCACTTAACTTATCACGCTAACCGTCACGTCAACAACATAATCACTTCCCGCAAGTTTAAACATAAAACAACGAGCCAGTACATAATTGTCGGGCGAGTAGATAGTTTAATTACATAACCGCGTCAAACGTCAGCCTGTAGCCTGTGGTGGGGGCGTGTAATAGGCTGACAGTATAATAGGTCGCGGTTCAGCCTCATTTTCTCGAATGTGGGCTTTTAAAAGCACAAGCTCCCGTTCGGGTGGTTGTTGCTTCCATTATTGCATTCCCAAACACCCCCCACCCCGTCGTCATGGTAACGCCTTCTCCCCCCACTCGACGTGCGGTGTGCGCTGATTGGTCCGCGCTAGCTCCTCCCCCTCCACGCCGCGGCCGCTAGTCGCCAGTCAGCATGGATACGGACAGTGGTGAGGAAGGCAGGCGACACGACCTGGACATGCTACTTCAACAGCACCGTGCGGCCGTCACGGCGTTCGGGCTGTCGTTGCAGAAGAACCAGGCGGCGCCAAAGCATCACACGATAGAGAGTATACTAGGACTTCGCCCCGGCGGGTCCGAGAACCAGGGGACGGAGAGTAGTGGTGAGTTAATCACTGTCAATGTAGTTATGTACGTATTGAATAATCATTGCGAGCTGTAAAACAATCCAGAAAGAACAGAAAATGTCACTTTGTAGAAGTGATCTTAGGACCTCGAGGTACTTTCTTTTAGTTAACCTATGTAGATGGTAATAGCATAGCATAATAAGCAATAAAACACCAAAGTGTGTAATAGGTATAACAAATAATATTACAATGCAACTTAAATCTATATCAAATCACATAGCTTAGCGACTTTGAATAAGTTCCGGTTGGGCATAAGAATGTAAAAATGCACTTGCCTATTTAGTAAACACAGTTCATAGTACGCCAAGTGGAAGTCAAATAATTAATACATAAAAAACTAACTACTCAATATTCAAAAATGTTTCAATTACATTCACGCAAGTTAAGTAAGCAAAAAAAGAGAGCCGTGACCTCTTTGGAGAATAAATATTTCAAAAATGTTTCTTGTTCATTTTATAACTTGAGTTAATTTCTTTTCTTTTTCTTAATATATTTTTGTAAAACACATACATACCCTACTTGTCATTTGTTTTCTCAGCAAATCAACGTTTCAAAAAATCACACAGTTAAATTTTAGATAAATACTCCCAATAAATTCAATAAAAGAAACAATAATTGAGGATAACTTACATGTAAACCTGTAGAACCTAGAAATGAAACGCTTTTAGTAAACACAATGACATAAGTCAAAAATTAAATTGCTTTAGTGGAGAAAACTTGATTACATTTGTCATTTTCATCATCCTTTGAAGTATTTGCGCCGACAGATTACAAATATATCAATTAAGAGAGCTGTTTAGTTACGATGGTATATTAAAATGTATATTAAAACCATTGTAATGACAAAGGCGTTAGAAATATTATAGTATATGAGATCCCGCATGTCCCGCTACGGAGAGCGCTTGAATTTACCGTACCGATTTCAAAGGGATTTAAACCATGAATGATTCTTCTCAATAAGCAATCTTTAGGTGGAAGGACAATAGTTTGTGTACTTAATAATAACCTAAACATTTTAGATTTTAGTCAGTACTCAGGAGGAGATATTTATGTCCTATCTTTCTGATAGATCCCCGTATGTGAGGGATTTGCAATAGACGGTTCAACAGTGATTGTTAGGTTAGGTTAGGTAGGTTGGTAATTTTTGAATTGATCTTTGGATTTCTTTATTAGCCAAATAAATTTTTTTCAAATATTGCTGGTGTATGATTAAGATTGAAAGGGGGTTGCATCTAAATATTACATTATTGGGTAAAAGATAAGTGTTAAATACGCTTTTCTGGTTTAATCCCCCGGCTTGCCATCTATCTATCTGCAACGGATACATAAGCGTAAACATAGTAAAGCTATAAACTTGTCTGATATATTATCACATACCTTCAGCATTTGTTGAATTAATTAATTTTAACACACCAATCCCAACATAACCTGGTTCACTAAGTAACACACAAAAAATGTTTAAGACGAACCGGTTTCAAACACCGAGCTAGAGATACAACTGGATATAGCGCTGAATGAGAATTGATAAGTTGGCCACCATTTGTACTAAGGGATTTGTACATTGTAGACCAACTTAGTACATTAGACTAGGGGAAACGGATATTGTGGGATTGTGGATACATAAAGATCCCCCCCATTTGGTAACAATCTAACATACTTTTACAGCGTCTAGATTTTCTAGCATCAATGCTACATGCTAGCAGTCGTTTCATTTTCCCACCTAGTTGCAGGTACACGAAACTAATATCTTAAGGTGTCTGATAAATGAAAAAAATTGGTAATATTGTGAATCTCCGATCCACTTAAAAATTAAATTAATCACTACGCATTTTCAATTTGTTCGTTGAGAGTCGTGGTTGTAATGTTTAAAAATATTTGTAAAACAACTAGTGTTTTGAATTAATATTGATGTGAACTTGTGAAAGGGATGTCTAGCATTTACCAGCCGTCAAACGTATGTCAAGGTGACTAAAATGATTACTATAAACCCTTTATGTTATCACAAAATAAGAAAAAGTTCATGTTAATGGTCAATATGGTGATACAATTCCCATTTCTCATATAAGCCATACAAACGCTCAAAACTTGAATGTTTACTTTAAATATTAATATTAATCTTAAAAACCAAAACGAATAAGCCGTTTAGAGGGTTTTAGGTTTTATAAATTTTACCGCAATATTTATTAATATGTACTTTCTAAATATTTGCCACTGCAATACCATAAAATACAACACCCAACAATACAAAACTAAGCACTGTTAAAAATAAATCCAACCCTTTTCAGGCGATAAAGACAATTGTGTAAATAATATAAACATTATCAAGGTATGTGAAGGAGTAAGCAGACTTTTAATTACTAAAAGGAATACGAGAAGAAGATTAAATGTATGTATATCTTACAATATGACTGAGATAAAGCCATTTTATATTTTAAATTTAAATATATTTTGAAAAGTGGCTGTGATATTATGATATATCGCTCTTTATCCATGCAATGTTTTCAACATTTTGTCTGGCGAGGTTCAGTCTATTTTAATTTATGAATATTTAATGACCGATACGTTTAAAATCTTCATGCTATTTATTGTAAAGAAAAAGACAGCGGTTGAAGTTTAATTGTTTATGAATACATTTTGATCTAATTTGGCAAGTGTAATCCTATTTGTTTGATGCTATGCTGTTAACATTTTATAAAAATGCTTGGTTTTTACTCCATGTGGCATAAAACCTGAATAATCGTTGATTCCATTGTTTTTTAAAATCCGAATAGGTCTTACTTGTTTTTTTTTTTTTTTTTTTTTTTGTAAAATTGTAAGAAAACATTTTATTAAGAGCCTACTCAGGAAAATAGAAATTCGCTTCGTGTGCAGTTTTTCCCGTTGGGACATTATTTTAAATATGTGGGTATAAATGGTTTTGTACTTTTTTAATGGAAAACAATCTGATCTCCAGTCTTGTTACTATATAACATCGACTTTTAGTTAGAGTTAGATAATGACAAAATGTATGTAGGTTTTTAATCGATATAGCATGGGATCGAACCAGATACCTTTAGATTTGAAGGTGAGCACTAACCACTACACTGCTGGATGTCTCTTCCTGAAATAAAATTTCATTAATTTGTTTTCATTAAGATTCAACTAAAAGCTCGGGTTGTTCCTCAAAACAATTGGCGGAGATTTAACTAACAATGCGTTTTTCAAAGGTTTATTGCGGACATTTTCCATCACGAATGTAAAAAAACAATACACAACGTTTCGGGATCTGAAATCTGATCCCGTCCTCAGGTGAAAAAAACTTAACTAACACATTACAACTAACAATACACAAACGCCCAACCTAAGGCCCCTATTACACGAGGTAGCCTGGCGACGTCGCCAGCGGCAGTAGCTGGCGACGCACTGGCCACCAAACCTATAACCAGTTGAGTAGCCAGAATTTTACCGCCGTGGCGCCGTTGTTGTGAGTGCTTGTCTTGCACTTGTACTTGTTATGAGCGGTGTTTACAGTGAATAATGAGTGATTATAAGTATCTTCTCCTTCTGTTACTTCTGAAGAAAAGGAGGCAAAGGAAGAGAAAAATGTACGTTCATCCAATGCAAGTGAGTGCAAGAGAATCAAAAGGGTTTATATTACACCCTTTTTGATGAGCTCTGTGCGGACAATAAAAAATGTTTCAATTATTTTCGTATGTCACAATCCAGTTTCTTCGAGTCATAAAGGATGAAATAGACATTTTATCAACTGAAGTGAACAATTCACACACTCACAACACAACAGAACGCAACACAACAGTGTGCAAGTACCCCCGTGATATGAACTAACCGAGTGGCGACGTGATACTGGCGACCTAGTGTAATAAGCTCCATATGCTACAACGCAGCGTCGCCAATATGGGTAGCCAGTGGCTACCACAGTGGCGACGGGGCTCGGTAGCCAGTCGGTCGCCAAAGTGTGGCTGCGTCGCTGGCTACCCTCGTGTAATAACATCCATAAGAATCAATGCCCCATGACAAGCTGAGTAGCCAGTTTGGTCGCTGGCGACGTCGCCAGGCTACCTCGTGTAATAGGGGTCTAAGTTGGAATACACTACAGAAGGTAGCAGTCAAAAAACATGCACCCTTCACTACCCTCCCCCCCCCCTCATGCACCCTTGACTGCTACCTTCTGTAGTGTATTCCAACTTAGGTTGGGCGTTTGTGTATTGTTAGTTGTAATGTGTTAGTTAAGTTTTTTTCACCTGAGGACGGGATCAGATTTCAGATCCCGAAACGTTGTGTATTGTTTTTTTACATTCGTGATGGAAAATGTCCGCAATAAACCTTTGAACAACATTAACTCACCATCACCAACAATGAACTTCAAACAAAGAATGCGTTTTTACAGGTAACTATTCGTGCCTTTTTTATTTTTTAAAGTTTAACTAGTGCTCGTCCAGTGGTCGAAAACTCGACCAAAAATATGTAATGTACGCCCATTGACTATTGGATACTGAAGTAGACATCCCATCTATATGGACCAGCTGTCGCCATTTTTTCATTAAAAACATGTAGTTGTGTGAGCCAGTCACAGAATGTGTCTCTAAAGTTCTATTTTCTGCCTTATTTCTTTTTGTTGACAAAGCAGATGGGTCATAACAGTTGCTATAGCTCAAAAAGTCATTCAAAAAGTTTGACTTGGTATAAAGCATCGTGTATTCGACAGCAGAGCAATCTGTTGGTAGCTCAAATCAACTACGATGAACTTAATTTAAAAACTGGCGAGAACTTTAACATGGGGATGGAATGTCTAGTTGTAAGTCAAAGGTACATGCTTCTCTATCTTCACTTCACGCTGTAAATAAAACATGTGATTGTAATTTCTTAAATTTGTTTTGATTTTCTGTTTATATTTCCTTGTTATTTCATCACCAGCATGGCAACCCATAAAGCCCATGTTATTTTTTTTAATTTCAAATTAATTTTTTGTGCTTGTA